CCCATCAGCTGTCCAACCCATGCCATCCTGAGACACAGCAAAGACGCATCTTCCTCACGAACATGGGCTCTGAGGCTAGAGATTTCTATTCTGATTAAGGGAATGCTAATATACCTACACACTTCCCTGACCCTTGGTGAAGGAAACACTGAAATATGTTACCTAGCATATATTTTCAGTTATGTGAGTTTAAATGCCTGATTACAATACCTTCTGCCTTATTTTGTTGCATACCTCACAAATTTGAGGCAGACCCTATTTTGGAATGGCAAGTCTACGAGGAAGTCATCTGGTGGCTAGACTCCAGGGAATCTCAAAGTCTGTTAGAATAGCTATATTAGGAAATGTATCATTTCTATGTTCCACCTATTATTAAGACTTTAGAAATAAATATTAAATATAATTCCCAACATATAGAATTTCCTGTTGTGCCCTATGAGAGACTATCCTCTGCTCATGGAAAAATCTTTTCATGATAGTTTTACATGAAGTTTGCATAAAGTCTTGCCTCTGTCAATAATCCTTATCTTCTCCCCCACGAATACAATGCATGTTACTAAACTAGGTAAGGAAATTAAATAAACATCGTATGACCAAAAGTATAGCAATTTTAAATTATCTAGAATTTTGTGCTTTGAAAAATTCATCAGCTTCCTATAGTTACTGAGCTGATGTTATTCTGAGATAGAATTATTCTAATCTGTTGAAAATACTGACTATATCTAACTCTTGAAAATACCTTCACCCTTAGATACAGTCTGAAAAGATATAGTTCTGGGAACTGATATTTCTTCAGCTTTCCTGATTTTCACCTATAACTACTTATGCTTTTTGTGAAAAGGCAGACCTACACCTCCTTCATCGTATTCTACTTTTAGCCCCTGCTAGCCTTCATCCTATACCCTCTTAAAAGCTCTTGACCAGCTTATGCAGAAAACTGAGTTTCTGTTTAACATACAAGTTACCAAAACAATCTCAAAATAAAGCATTCAAGAATCTTTAGAGGGGAACATATCAGTCCATCACAGAGTTCCCATTTTACTATGTAACACAGTGGAGAATAAAAAGTAGAAACATAAATATTTGAAAACTCTGAGTGTGAGAAAAGTAAAAAATTGTCTCTTTACTCAGTATGCGACATGCTCTGAGTCAAGTGAATCTTTTTTGGATTCACTTTCATTATCTCAGAAAAACTTGCTTCTGAGCAGGATCAAAATCACAAATAGCCTCAGAAAAACGATTTGAACTTAAAAAAAAAACATACTAGAACTCTAATGCGAGGCATTATTGTTATGCAACTTCCAATCCAATCTAATAGATACAGTTGGTTTTGATCGTTCTTACAAACATTAAATAAGCCTTCAATTTCAGATGCTTTGTATTAAGTTACCCTCAGGATGTGAGGATATACTTCTAGCCCAGTTTACATCAGTGGGAATTTTGCCATAGACTGTGAGTGGCTCCTATGTTCTATGATTTTGCCATTGAAATATACCAGTGTTTGCCAAAAACTGCACCTTGATTTATTTCCAAATTATTGCCAAAAATATTTGGCTTAATACGTAATCAGTTCAAATTTTCAGGTGGTATAAGTCAATGTAGCTGCAGGGCTATGCCAATTCAATCCACCTGAGGATGTACCACTGTGTTTTATTCTATTTAAAAATTATTTATTGTAGTAAAGTAATTGTTTTAAAATCTTCATGGTTTTACACTGCAGGTAGTCATAGTGTTTTCAAGCAAAGATACTGCATTTTTGACCCTTCCTTTCAAAAATGCATTATTCCTTGAATGCAAGGGCGTAATATATTTTCAATTCAAACCTGGCACCGCTAACAATCAGATGCCGTACTTAAAATTCGGACAGTACACATGCAAACATGCTTTTGCAACACTGTCTACAGTGAGAAACTTTGGGTAACAGTTGTCCACATTTACTAAAACTTTGATTCTTATTAGCCATCTGTGCAGTTTCAAGCTTCACTCAACAGTAAACATGCAATTTCACCTGTTACTTGGTAGCAAGTAGCCACCCTTGTGCAAGACCCTCCTACCCCTTTATTTTTTAAAAAAATATCTAGAGTAAACTCAATTCAGTTTTGCCTTGATGGAATTATTGTGTTTGAATGATGATAAGGTAAATTTGTCAGTTGAGTGACCAGTACTTGAGCATTTAATAGACAACTTCAGAGAGAGAAAAGAGAAAACTGAGAGAGAGAGAAAAAAATAAACACCTTAACACAACAGCAGCTGTGGAGTAAATTCCTCCCTCTGTTACTTCTATAGAGGAGTAACTCCATGCTGCTGCAGAATGAGAGGAAGAATTTTCTAGCTAGCTCATAAGTATTTATGAAATTTTAGGAAATTTTGGTATTTGCCATATTTTAAAATAATCTAAAGCACTTGGAAGTTAAAGATTATTAAAAGATAAATAACAAAAATATGGGAGAACAAATGAGTGTCATGTATAATAGTTACTGACAATTATGAGTTCACATTGCAGCAGTGGTTTGTTGGATTAAATCTTGCATATTGCAAAACATCATAGAGCGGAAAGAGAAAATCAAAAGAGCACTGCCTCACTTAACCACACTTAAATTAATAGGTAGAAGTTTACAGCACAGAGAGCTCTTGCTGATGGTTTCACTGAGAAAGTATCCTGACTTTGGTTAAATCTTTATTACTGCTCTATATGAAAACACTACCAGTTTGGAAAAGAAATAGAAGTGTGAAAGCTGACAAGCCTTTACCTGCCCACCCTACCTCTGAGAATCCAGCTTTAGAATGCCTCTTCAAAAATTTGTGTAAAAGGTAGGAGTAACCAATGACTGATACTTTTTACAGAACTAAGTGCAAAACTTGTGTCTTCAGTTTTTACTCTGTTATACTCTTTTCTGAGTGTAAATTTCTTTTCATTCAGAAAAAATACAAAATCAAGTCACTATACAAGTTTGTAACTAAGCAAGTACTGTTTTGACATAATTTGACAGATGTCTAGAGTACATGGGAAGTATGGGTCTAATCCTATCTCCACAGAAACTAGTAGACAACTTCCCATTGGGTTTAATGGAGTAAAGGTGGTAAAGTATGCCTCAGATTATCCCTGATATACCTTCTAATGTCCCTGGAGTTACAACCGCAGTAAGTAACTTCAGTGAGCAAGTACTAGCTGATGAAATTATGGACAGACCTCACCAATCTGAATGTCAACAAAGGTGTATTTACCACTAAATTTCACATAGCTGACGATTTATGTGGTACATAAGGCTTTTGCTGAACTCAGAGTCTTTGAGTAGCTGAACAGTGCAATTGCAAGTTAGATATGTTCAGTTATTTTTCATGAAGGAAAAGAAATGGAGACAAATTACAAAGAGCTGGGAAATTCATGCTGCAAGCTCAGTTTTTAGTGCAAATCCTTTTTTCAACTCTTCTTTGTTCTTAAGATGTTGTATGGGTGTGTATGCTAAGAGTTGACTGAGTACCTCAGTCATTTGATTCTGTTTTCTACTGTTTCTTTAATAAACTGATCAACAGATTTTCTGCTCCATTACTACTCCTTTAGGGGCTATTGCCTCACTCTAATAGAAACCTCTTTACAGATTCCAGGCTAAAGGCATTAAGGGTAGTTCATACCTATTTGTTCTTGCACCAAAACTGCCAATGAGGTAAACAGTTCTGTTTCCCTTCTGCATGTTCTCAGAAGAGCAATATTGCCTCCAGACCTTGTCTTCTTTGTCTAAACAAAGTGATTGGTAGTAATCTTCTCTTGGAAAATAGGCCTTCTTCCTCCAATATCTTAGGGCTAGCTAGCTTTTCCTGCCTGCATCTTTTTCATGACCGCAGGTGACTAGAATTGTACTCACGGTTCCAGATGAAATCCATAAATAATAATAGGGCTATCAAAATTGGCATGAGTGCTTTCCTATATGTCCTGTCCTGTCTGTCTGTCCTATCATACTTTACTAGACATGTTTTTGGGTCACACTTCCCATTTTTGCAGCCACTGTAGTTTGGGTGGCTTACAGCTAACCTGTGATTGACGACTTTCCACAAAGAACACAACATATAATTATGTATTGTATACTAACATATCATTCATATTTCTTACATCTTTTCAAATGATACCTTGTAATTAAGTTTGCTTCACAACAGATAGCATTAATGCGTGCTTCATTCAAGATGAATTTTAACACTGACGAGCATATTTAGGTCAGAGTTACTGTCTAGACATATCTCTGGGTAGCTAATCTGAAATACCTCCCAAGACATAAAACATCTCCCCAAATCATTTGTTTGTTGCCACTTCTTTAGAATAGCTGATATGGATTCACAATTTCCTCCTCATTTGTGCAATATCACTAAAATGTACTAAACATCACATTATGCATGCACATTAAAAAGCTGATTCAAAAGTGCAGTAAGTCTACTGACTTCTGTGTAGCTCAACTCGCCAGAAAAAAGATCTCTACCATTCAAAAAAATGCACTCAAAATCTAACAAATACCAAGGTTTTTTCCTACAACATAGGATAATAAAATAATATTATTCTGAAGTAAACTGACAAATCGATCCTTGGGAAAAAAAGGAAGTAGATAAATTTTTTTAGTCTGATCTGAAGATGGAGACCAATTTCCCAAGGCTTTTGCTAGAAAAAGGATTATGAAGTATGGCCCAAGTTATTCTTCATGTACTTGCTGATTTCTCTGAAGCGACAACAGCAAAGAATAACTCCAGGAAGTAGCTATGATTGCCTTTAAACTGCTGACTTCAGTGTAGGGATCTCATTTGAGAAATGATCCTTACTTTCTCTGACAACATCTGAAGATGCATATTTACACTCGCTATCCCAAATCCAAAGATTTCAGTTAGTGCCAAGTCAATGTAGCAATATCTAAAAGATATATTGTTTTGATATGGAGTAAAAAATTGCTTTCTGAATTATTGCAGTGAATAAACAAAGTACTGAAAGAGATGAAACCAAATTTATTTATTTCACTCACCTTGAAGCTGGCGTCCTTTGTACAAATCCTTTGTTTTAGTTGGGTGAGCTCTGGCACTGTTATCACACTTAGGCTGTTCATACCTACAGGGAGAGAAAAAAAACAACATCAAGGTCAACTAAATTTAGAACTAATTTATTTCCAATTTTGTAGTCCAAATTAAACTTCTACCTTTTGTTCAGGGAAGAAGTTTGCAATTCTCATTCTTCACTCCAAACAGGCAATGCAAATTAATCTGCCTATTTTCCACTTACCTCAAATAATCCAGGAAATGTTTATTCTTCTGGGATTGAGACCAAATGGAATAATTATAATCTATTCCAAATCCATTATACAGGGAGGAAAACTGAGGAAGGAGAAAGCTGTGGGGAACGGCCATGAAATAATATGTAATAAAAGCAAAAGAGAAAGCCAGGTTCCTCCTACCTACCAAATCAAAAAGTGCTAAACAGCATAACAAATTGTGGCATCTGGGACAGTATTCATGTTGTGAAACTCCAGAAAAGCAACTTCAAAATCAGAACAATGCAGGTACTGTAATTAGTTTAATACTGTAGCAATACAACTGTGTACTATTGTATCCTCTCCAAAACAAATGTTAGTTGAACACAAACGGATATGGATTCTGGAATGAAGGGAATTGTGCTTGAATAGTTTAAACTTGGTTTTGAAAACCAAGTCTCCACCTGCTACTTGAATATTCTGGTTCCCCTACTCTTTCTGAGAAGTCTAAAGCTTATCCTACGCTATTTGTACTTCCAATTAATATCAAGGACACTGACCAGCTGATTTTACCGGCTCATCCAAATCTGGGTTCTCAAGGACCCTTCCAGTCTGAGACTCCAGGGAAAAGAAATAAAGACCTACGGCATGAGTCATCCTTCTCTATCCCTTTTTTCGTTTAGCTTTTCACATCTATTTTATGCTCACTGTGCAGAAGTGAAAAATGCAAGGCAAGGAAATGGCAGTCAGGACTAAGCTCTAGTGATCACAGTATAGACATGCTGGTTTTGTGCAGATACAACTACTACTAACATGATAAAAATCATGTAATATATTTATGATTGTGCAAAGTGTATTATTTTTAGAAATAGGAATATTGGATCTCAGTGCCCAGGTGGGTTGTCTCCTAATCACTTCAAGGATACCCACGCAACTGGAGAAGAATTTCCATCATTGTATGTAGGAAATATCTTTGTACTGGTTAGGAACAGAGGAGCACATACTTGTCCCATGGCTGTTGGAACTGCTATAGAATTGAATAGGGAAACCTGGTATTTTCTTGATCTTCATTTAAAAAAAAAAATTATATCCTGCAAGTGTCCAGCAAAGCTATTTTGTGTGCTGTCCCAGAGCGTATAGTCATAGTTTAGCAGTTTGCAGGTTTCAAGTTACAATTCCATTTCTCTGTTAATGAAAGTAAGTCTGATTCTTCATTGTCGGACCCCTTCTCTAGTCAGTGGGTATGTAATTAGTGGTGCAGAGTCTAGCTGGAGGCCTGTAGCTAGCTAGCAGTGTCCCCCAGGGGTCAGTCCTGGGAACAGTCTTGTTCAAAGTATTCATCAGTGACCTGGAGGAAGGCACAGAGTGCACCCTCAGCAAGGTTGTGGATGACACTAAACCGGGGGGAGTGGCTGACACACCAGAAGACTGTGCTGCCATGCAGAGGGACCTGGACAGGCTGGAGAGTTGGGCCGAGAGGAACCTCATGAAGTTCCACAAAGGCAAGTGCAGGGTCCTGCACATAGGGAGGAATAACCCCCTGCCCCAGTACAGGCTGGGGGTTGACCTGCTGGAAAGTAGCTCTGCCGAGAAGGACCTGGGAGTGCTGGTGGACAACAAGTTCACCAATAACCCCCTGCCCCAGTACAGGCTGGGGGTTGACCTGCTGGAAAGTAGCTCTGCCGAGAAGGACCTGGGAGTGCTGGTGGGCAACAAGTTAAACATGAGGCAGCAGTGTGCCCTTGTGGCCAAGAAGGCCCATGTTATCCTGGGCTGCATGAGGAAGAGTGTTGCCAGCAGGTGGAGGGAGGTGATCCTGCCCCTCTCCTCAGCCCTGGGCAGGCCTCACCTGGAGTACTGTGTCCAGTTCTGGGCTCCCCAGTACAAGAGAGACATGGCACTCCTGGAGAGAGTCCAGCAGAGGGCTACCAAGATGATGAGGGGACTGGAGCATGTCTCCTCTGAAGAAAGGCAGAGAGAGCTGGGCCTGTTCAGCCTGGAGAAGAGAAGACTGAGAGGCGATCTCATCAACGTGTGTGAGTATCTGAAGGGGGAGTGTCAAGAGGATGAGGCCAGCCTCTTCTCCGTGGTGCCCAGCGACAAGACAAGAGGCAATGGGCAGAAACTGAACCACAGGTAGTTCCACCTAAACCTGAGGAAAAACTTCTTTGCTGTGAGGGTGACAGAGCACTGGAACAGGTTGCCCAGAGAGGTGGTGGAGTCTCCTTCCCTGGAGATATTCAAAACTGGCCTGGACGTGATCCTGGGCAATGTGCTCTAGAGGACGCTGCTTGAGCAGGGAGGTTGGACTAGATGATCTCCGGAGGTCCCTTCCAACCTTGGCCATTCTGTGATGCTGTGATTCTGCAAAGTAGTCCTAGATTAAAACTGTAAAGTCTGGCTTATGCAAGTCTTGTCTGTGCACTTTTAAAATTTGAATTTTTTCTGTTGGGTGCTAACAAAAGCTTCAGATATTTCACTAGTATCACCTAGTATGGGACTCCTCCCATCCGACCCAATTTGGCTGTTGTATTATGCAGCCCTCTTTTGATAAGGTGGTATTCGCACTTGAGCCTTTGAGTTATAACACCTGGCACTTATTGATATTTCAATGGCTTAGATTCACTCAATTCCAGCCTAGTGGTAAAAATTGACTGAGATGAACAAAACCTTTATTTTATACTCCTAAGAGTGTTTAGACAATGATGAGGTAGGTTGTAGTCAAGCAAAGTGCTGCACATGTTACTGGACTCACAGGTAAAGTTCTGTTATCCATGGGATCATATTTAAAAACATTCAAGTATTCGAATGAATAATGTCATAGGCCATAAAGCACAGCAAGGAATAAAACGCTCTGTAAAAGACGCTCATTCTTAACACTGAAATGATACTATTTTGGGCAGTTTGTGTCTTGCCTACTTCATCCTTCCTAGCATTTTTTTAACCTGGCAAGGTTAAAGGTTATACATGAAATAAATCATATTTCTACTACGATCAGAAATGACTGAAAAAATAATAAGCTCTTAATACATTTTTTCATCTCTCTATGTTTTTAATTATGGCATTTCAATTAGTTTGATAGACTCTCTGAAAAGTTTTACTTACTAGTTTTCTTATATAGCTTGACGCTAGATACTTTAATGTACAGCAATTCAGGAAAAGTTCCAATTCTAAAAAGTTAAATATAGTAATAGTACATATGTCCACATACAGGCTTGTGCACAGACATACTCATTCACCGAATCTGGGTTCCTTTGTGTTCAATATAACCACTCATCTTTCTTTGAAATGCTCCTATTGCATGTTCCAAAATATCACATTTATGGAGCTATATATTAAAACGTCTAATCAAAACATACTAAGTTAAATTTTTGGAAAAAAATATTCTTTTTAAAAGTATAAAATAGTGGCTATGTCTTAGGTCCCAGCCAGACTGTCCCTAAAAACAATTTGTAAGTATTCTGACTTTAATTACAGGGCAGAATCAAAAAAAAGTTGTTGTTTTTCTTTTCCTTTTAATTGCTTAATTTATTTCCACATCATGTGAAGAAACTGTCCATTGACCCATCTGATTTTGGCTGCTGCAAGAAGTGACAATGTTGTTTCACAGGCTTAGGAGCACTACAAGCATGTTTTTTCCTAAAGAATGGTAGGAATAGAAATTGCTTTGACAGCACGGTTGAGATTCAGATACCTGATGGATGACCACTTCAATCAGCCAAGAAAAGAGTGAAAGGGAAATCTCTGAGCAATACTCACTAATGCATTATCTGGCAACCAGCCTGGTCCCTGATTAATCTGATACCCGCTACATACCCGTTGTCCTCTTCAGTTATTGTTAGTGTTCTGTGCCTACACTTTCTTTTCTGGCCTCCACTCTTCTCCACTTCTTCCATTTTGGCTTATTTTTTTGTTAAATACAGATGTAGCACATCATAAGACAGATCTATTAAAGTCAACTGGGTGTTAAAATGGTGTAACATGAAAAGTCCATGTTTAACTCTTTAAAGGCAAGAAAATGATGAAAAATGAAGTGAATGATTAGAAACTTACCTGTTTGAACCTACAGAGACACAGCCACACTAAGAGCTGATAAGAAAAACACACTCGCCTCAGTTTTCATGGGAAAAGAGCAGCAAAGGGATAGCATGTCAAAATGAAGCACTCTCAGGTTAAAAATATTGCAGTAAAAAGATATCCCAAATTGCTCACTCTTCAGATTTTTAAAACTGAAAGAATCCTCACCGCTGAATATGTATCTTGAGTCAGCAAAGGTTTATAAAGGCTGTTTTATACCTCTGAGCAGTGCCCTTGGAGTCACTGAGGTATAATGATGTATTCAAGGCAGTATAGTATCAAGGATTTTGCAGGAATTCTACATACTGTGGGCAACTTCATGAAGTAGCTGATTTACTTTTTTTTTTTTTAAAGTCTACACAATCTTTTGCAAGTAGATTGGAGGTTATTCCGCCCATGATCCTAGCTGCTCCAAAGTCACATTTGAGAGCCCAGACTCATGGCCGTTCTGCATAAAACGGTTTGAGGGTCATTCTACCATGATTAAATGATGTCCAGGAGGCGTTTACCAGCTACCTGGTAAAACTATACTGATAGACTCTTTCTGCCGGCCCTTTCATTTCCTGTTTTGAATGCTTAAGTCATAAGCTTTTCAGGGGAATGGTTGTTTGTACCATTTAAATGCGCTGCTTCCTCGCAGTCTAATGTATACTTCCCCTAGGTTTTCATAAAAGCCAGCTTTATGCCAAATCTTTACTTTACACATTTCCTGTGAGTTTCTTTGCATTAAGCGTCTGTTAACATCATTTCCAGGAGGACAATGTCTTAAATGTCCTATAATGGTTCTTCATTCATTCACCTTTATTTTAACTCTGGAGCGATGTGTTTTTTCTGAAATACCTTTACTGACAAATGATTTATCCTGACTTCAAATAACAGAGCATTAGAAGATCACTGAGTACTCATAACTTCCCTTCATTTTATGGCGTTAATTTAATGGGACTACTTTTTATTGTGGCTTACAGAGGCTGATGATATGATAAATTTCACCCTCACTAATGTATTCAAACCAAACAACATACAGAACTGTTCTCCTAACAGCTTCCCAGCAGCTTCCCAGACCTACATATTCAGATTTGCAGAAGAGAGATTGCAGAATGCAAAGCATTTTTCTTGCTACTAGGAGTACTAATGCTATCAGTTTCTGCAGTAGAGCTTTAATACTTACTCTTCTGATTTTTATTTTGCAGGGGAAACGTGGAAGGTAGCATACACCATTTTCCACAAGACCCTGATTCTTTAAACTAGAAAAGACTCACATGTTCTTCGTCCATTCCATTCTGTAAGAAATAATTACTGTAAGACTACCGCATATTTCTCATCTTATACTCATCACTTGTAGTGCTTATTTCATCAAGCATCCTCAGAGAGCCAGGAAGAAATCATACTTTGACCTTTCTCCTCCTTTCTAAGGGAAAGCGTTTTATTTTATAAACATGTACTAAAAGAAATTTTAAAATCCAGCAAGAATAATGGGATCTCAGCCCATCTAAAGCTCACCTAGAAATGGGATTTAAACAGTCCTCCTAAACTCCAGGCAGTGATCCCACCTGCTTGTTTTCTAGGAGTGCTCAGCATTGTAGACTCCTAAATTCACTAGGCATTATTTTGCATGAAACTCCTAACATTAAGCACTCTAGTTACCCCAGTATGCTCAGAAGTGTCCCTTCTTGAGATATTACTATATATTACTGACTCAGATCTCCACTATAGTCCAAGTTAAGTGGGTAGAGATTTGAACTCTCCATAAGTCTAGTGAAGCTGTGGTCTGTTGTGTTCTAGTCATCAGATAGAGCATCCATCTAGCAAAATGAAGATTTGTGTCTAGCTCATATGGGTGAGACTGAATCTAAACCTGCTAGCATTCGAACTTAGGAAACATGCAGTACCATGAATGAAAACCCTGCCACCTCTTCTCCTGCAGCTGAATCACTGTATAGTTTTGGAATACAAGAGCTAGCCGAACAAACAGAAAGAAAAGAAAGGGGAGCCTGATTTTAGCTCCACAGGTGACTCCTCATAGGTGTTGGGAAGACCTGGAAATCCAGCTAGTGTGACCATACAAGCCCAAATCATTAACATTGCACACGATATAATATGAATAGGACAGCTGTTTGATTTTCAAGGATCATCCCCTCTAGTCTCAAGAATGGTTTGTCCCAGTGTGTAGGAGGTGGCAGAAGGTCTGCACGGATGAATAAGGAGTGCCTGACAAAACTCAAACATAAAAAGAAAGCGTATATATAAGAGGTAGAAGCAGGGTCAGGTGATCCAGGAGGAATATACAGACACCGTCCAAATGTGAAGAGATGGGGTTAGGAAAGTCAAAGCTCATGTGAAGGGCAATCAGGAGGGCTTCTAAAGGTGCATCAGCAGCAAAAAGACTAGGGAAAATGTGGACCCATTACTGAATGGGTTAGGATATCTGGTGACAAAGGACATGGAGAAGGCCAAAGTACTCAGTACCTTCTTTGCCTTGATCTTTATGCTAAGATTATCCTTAAGGAGTCACAGGTCCCTGAGACTAGTAGGAAAGTCTGGAGCAAGAAATGACCCTTGGTGGAGGAGGATCAAGCTAGGCAACATTTAAACAAACTGGACGTGCACACGCCCATAGGACCTGATGGGATGCACCCACGAGTTCTGAGGGAGCTGGCCAGTGTCATTGTAAGGCCACTATTGATAGCATGGCAACTTGGGGATGTTCCTAGCGACTGGAAGAAAGCAAAAGACTCTATCTTCAAGAAAGGTAAAAGAAGGATCTGGGGAACTAAAGGCCAGTCAGCCTCATCTTGATTCCTGGGAAGATGATGGAGCAAATAATCTTGGAAATCATTTCAAAACATATGAAGGACAAGACAGTGATTGGGAGAAGTCAGTATGGATTTATGAAGAGGAAATTAAGCTTGATCAACCGTAATTGGTAAAGCCTTTTATGATGAGATGACTGGCTTGGTGGGTAGGGGGAGAACAGTGGATGTTCTTTATCTTGATTTTAGCAAGGCTTTCTGGCCTATCTCCCATAAAATTCTTATAGACGAACTGATTAAGCACAGGATAGAAAAACAGACAATGAGATGGACTGAAAGCTGAAAAGTCCAGTTGGAGGGCAGTCACTAACGGTGTATCCCAGGGGTCAATATGGGAAGCAGTCCTGTTTAACATCTTCATTAATGTCCTGGATGATGGGGTAGATTGCACCCTCAGTAAGTCTGCAGACACTACAAAACTGGGAAGAGTGGCTCACACACCAGATGGTTGCTACCAGATGAGTGCTACCATCCAGAGGGATCCGAACAGGCTAGAGAACTGTGTCAACAGGAATCTCATGAAGCTCAACAAATGGAAATGAAAAGTCCTGCACCTAGGAAGGAATAATCCCATGCACCAGTATGGGCTGGGGGCTGAAAAGAAGGAAAGCAGCTTTGTAGAAAAGCACCTGAAGTTTAGTGGATGTCAAGTTGAGTATGAGTCAGCAATGTGCCCTTGCCGCAAAGAAGACCAACAGTATTCTGGGCTGCCTTAGGAAGAGCTTCTCCAGTAGGCTAAGGGAGGTGATTGTTTCCCTCTTCTCAGAACTGGTGAGACCATGTCTGGAGTGCTGAATCCAGGTCTAGGCTTACCAGTAGGAGGAAAGTCATTGACATACTGGAGCAAGTCCAGTGAAGGATCACAAAGATGATTAAGGGATTGCAGCATTGGACATATGAGGAGAGGCTGAGAGAACTGGGATTGCTTAGCCTGTATAAAAGAAGCCTCAGATTTGATCAGCGCATATAAATACCTGATGGGAGTGAGTAGAGAAGACACAGTCAGACTTCCTTCAGTAGTGTGAACTGAAAGGACAAGAGTCACAAATTGAAATACAGGAAATTCTGTTTAAACATAAGAAAAAACTTTTTTTACTGCAAGGGTTATCAAATAGTGGAACAGATTGCCCAGAGAGGCTGTGGAGTCTCCATCCTTGGAGGTATTCAAAACCCAAGTGGACAAGGTCCTGAGCAATCTGCTCTAGCTGACCCTGCTTTGAGCAGAGGTGTTGGACTAGACCATTTCCAGAGGTCCCTTACCACTTCAGCTATTCTGTGATTCTGTAATAAAATGACCTATAGAAAAGGTCAGCCAAAAAAAAAAAAAAAGTCCTATCATTGACCAGCACAAGAAGGTGGTTTGTATTCAACTTAAGGAATAGGATGCAAGGCCCCAAAAAGTGGTTTAAATTATGGGTTCAGAAGGAAAGCTGCACCAGCATCTAATTTTGAATAAATAAAATACACGTCAACAGACACACAGACAGAAAGGAAGGATTATCACTAAGAACAAGAAACAGTGAGCAAATCTGTGGGTGGAGAACAGAAGAAGAGCAGAAATGGGAGACTCTGGAATCTCTAGAGAACATCTTTACGTCCTCAGACAACAGGTATACTGATCCTACAGTTTCAGGACCAAATTTGGACTATGTCATTTGACAGCTTATGGATCTCGGCTTGACAGAAACAGCAGATAGCCTGTAACTTTAAGTTATGATTACTTCAGCTAGGAATTGTACTGTAATTGGCATGTTCTGACCTACTGTACAAACAAGTATCAGTAAATCAGCACTTGAAGAATATGCTGCTCCCCAGGAATATAACGCAATATAATTGCAGTGCGTGTCTTAAAATGCTTTTCACAAGCATTATGCAAATGATCAAAAATGATCTTTGCTTAAGTTTGAAAAGATTTATGCTTATATTAAGCTATCCATACTGCCCAACAGCTTTATATGAGTGTCTATAGCTTTTCCGCAAGAGCCAAACCTCAATAACTAGCCTAAATAACATCCTTTGGAACCTGATATTTGCCTTGCCTACATCTGTTCTGTGTGGCTCAGAACACTTTACCATGTATCCGGCTCAGCTGAGATGACTGAACTCCAAGCTTCTATTAATACACATTAAAATGTTATTTCCTCTCTGTGGATTCCCAGACAATTGTTCCAATAAAGTCAGTCATATGAAATAGTTGAGGAGGTTGCTGGAAAAATAACTGAACATTTCTGAGGTTGGCTTTGGTTCCTGTCACAGCCCATCTCACTTGGTTCTTTCATGTTCAGGCTACAGGAGTGTGAGGTTTCCTCTGGGTTGATTCATTATCAGCTTTAAAACCTTGCCTTCCCAGTACAAAATAAATGGAAGGAAAGCAAGAAGAGAACTGTAGAAGCCTACAGGCTGTGACATTGCAGTGAGTCAGTCTTTGGCCATCTGGTCGCAACTTTTGATGATTCTTAGGCAAATTTTCACTTAACATTCACAATGGAAGCAATCTATATGATGTAATTGCACTAGTAGTAGGAATCTACATGCTAGTACATAACACACTAGGGCATCAGCCCCCATGACCCTCTCATTACATGTCTCAGCACCGAAAGTGTATTCCCTTACCTTGTTGACGTGCCCGGGATGGGACGTCCTGTATCCACAAGAACACACCAACAGTAGCCTGTGGAAGGATGACACTGAACAGGTTTGTAAAGGCCACCCTGAGCACACTCTGGAATGAATACATTGTCTTTCTGGGGTTGTTTAGCTTCCTCCAGTGCTGACTGAAGTTCTTGATCACATGATGATGCTTTTGGAAGGAGAAGAAAAAATACTGAAGAAGCTATATGTAAAGGACCCACTAGATTTATCAAACTCGTTATATCTCGCTGTGATTGCACATAAGGATTGTATTTGAAGAGGTTCACTGCAGCTCAAATATCAGCTACATTGATTTATGTTGCATTTACTATTATGCTCTTTAGTTTCCTTTCGGTGTAGACACTTCACAACACATTCCTAACAGTATCTTGACACTCCTTTTCCCATATCAGAGGGAATCCATGAATACTTTCAAAACGTAAAATACTTTCTCTGCCATCTTAAAAAAATCCTCTCCCACTCCACAAATCCCTAAAATATTGATTCTTTTTAGAGAGCAAAAGTCGAAATCCAATTTTTAAAGATTCCTTATAAATGAATTATTCATCCAGATGGCATGTTTATATAGTGAAAACTCTTCCATCTTCTTTCTTGCTTATTCTAGTATTGGTGATGTATCATCTGATCTGGAGACAGAGATCTCCAGGAAAAAGTAGTACAATTTCCTCTCTGCCCTATCAGTATGTCCCAGATCTCTTCTGGATGTGAGAAAATCTTGTGTCTACGCATTCCTGGCCTTTACGCAGAAACTGTGAATCAGGGACCACAGAGAAGAAACCCCAGAAACAGAATTCCAGTATAATGTATAATAATAATAATAATAAATGAAATGAACTATTTGCTCCAGCCATTTATTTCCCAGGAACTTTAAAGTCAATCTTCAATCGTACAGAACTTAGGAGGTTAACAAAACTGGTTTTGCATAGTTCCCAAATTAAGCCATTGAATAGAAATAAATATTTGAAAAAGCCAAAATGCTGATGACAAATAAGAAGCACTCCACAAAAACAGGTATTACTGATAAGAAAATCTCAAGCCTATAGAATTTCAATCAATAAAAAGAATTCATTCAGTGAAAGGAAAGTTGTTTTAATGTTGTCTAGAAAAATACCTGCAACAAATTTTTGCTCTTCTTTCAAGTTAGTTAAAGTCTAGGGGCATAATTATTCTCTGAATCTCCAGAAGACTTTACCTCTTGACTCAACCCATAGAAGAACAAGTTGAATCCTGATTGTATTTTCCAGGGTATTTGCAATGAGTTTCATCTTTGATCTAATCTCACTTACTGTTGGCCACAGGGTTGATAAAATGCTTTGCATGTTTTAGGCACAAAAGTGACAGAAAGGCATTAGTTATGTTCAGAATGCCAATGATCCCTGCCAGCTTCTTGCAGAGGCAGATGACCAGAATCAGCAAGACTTCCAGTGCAGTGGAAAAGGTAACAGGAAGTATATCCCCTTCATACTTTAAATGGCACACAATTCCATCTATATGATGGTCTGGTTTCTAAAACAGTATATTTTGTTCCAATAAACATTAAATACTGAAACACAGGCATTTCACTTGCCAACTTGCTTACAAGGCACTGATTTTTTTTTTTAGTTCTTTGGTTGATAATTTTATGCTTCTTTGCTGCATATGGTATTTGAGCAGGAGCGCTAAATGATTTGATTAATTTTGCATGTTTTTCTCTTGTCTACCCACTGACATAAACAGAGATGAAATAGTTTCAAAGCACCAATGTTTAGACAATACACTGTAATTACAGAAGCAGTGTAGTGAGGACAGAAATGCTCCTTTAAAAAAGGGCAAATAACTAACTAAAACCCTCATAGAAATAGCTATGGTTTCATGAAATAGAAATCCATCACCAATATCCTCTTACAGTAGCCAAAATAAATCTTTCCCTTAGTGAATCTGGATTATGATAATTATTGACTTACAAAGTATTACAGCCCTGGAAAACACGTTGACTAGCTTGGTTGTTCACTTTTTACATTTTGTATATAATCAAGTAAAAAGGAAAAAACAGGGTGAAGAAGCTGCAATGAGAGGGAAAAAATATTACTCCTCTTTAAACTCAATTACTTTCTTTTCTCATTCATACTGATAAACCTCGGGATCATTCCACTAACTACTGTGACCTTCTCCCATTTTATATCCTTGTAACTAGCAACAGAATCTGGCAGATGTGTATTATTATCTCTTCCTAACCCAGAGGAGTGATATATTTTCATGGTCTCTATCTAGTTTAGAAAATACTGTGGTGTATGGAGGCTACACAGTCAGGTCATCCAGACAGACAAAATGTAATAGCAAGCAGGGAGAGAGTGCGATAGAGAATCCCCGATGTAGAGGCAGATGTGGATTATTTCAGCTGTGAGCGTAAGCTATAGTGTTTAATTCTGGGGCTGCTCTAGTGTGTTGATGGAAATAACCAGCAAACTACTGCACTGCTGACTCAGAAACACTGGAGTCATGAGCCACTGCGGCTGTTCCTGCACTGAGGAAATTTAGGAGCAGGTGTTGCAGACCTAGATGGACAGTCTTTTCATTCACGAACACTTATTCCCAAGGTAAGGTTTTCAGCTAGCTACTACTCAAGCCAGAACTTTGTCCCTTGAGCACTAAGCTAGGTTTCTGTGCTCCTTTTTCTCCCTCATGTCTAGTGTTAAGTTTTAAAGGTACAGAGAAGCAGTAATATGGGAGGGATTTCAAAGGACTGTTGTGAAAGTGGATAATGGCATTAGGAGGCACAATCAGACTGAGGACTGGTGTTAAGTTTGCAAGTGCGAGAGACAGGAAACAGGATTGTCAGTGACAGTAACTAAAAAGAAAGTTTAATGATTAAAAGAAATGTTTTTAGGGGCAGAAGTATTGCAAAAATAGACAAAAAGTCTAGGATTCATACAAAACTCTAGAGAAGAATTCTCGAAATTAGAAGGACTCTAGTGATGGAAAAGTCTGCCTTGAAGAGCAGCATCAGCACAGGTATTCACAATAAAAAACTGATATGAAAGAAACTGTGATATTTCCAGGAAGGTCTTTCCCTTCTTAGAACCTTTCATTTCTTTCCCTTTGCCTACAGATGGGAAATTGTAACAAGAAGAGCAATTAATCAGTAGTCCTAAGTAATCTGTTGGACAAAATGTAGAATATTTTTGATAAATTGGAAAATAAATAAAATAGTGTGATGGACATTATGGTTGTCAGCTCTGTATGTACCAAATGACTGGGCTTTATTACAAAACTTCTCAACTGAGTTCATTCATTTTATTTGCCAAAAGTGCATAACAGTTTGTTATTTCCCTTCCTAACACAAAGGCTAATCATCCTGGTCAGCCATCAGGCAATTTGCGTAGCAACCACTCAACAGAATCATATCCTCAGAGTCCAGGACTATTGTACAAGTTTTGACAGGACCAAATCACTTGTACCACTATTATTACTTTCCTGTTTGTCTTTTCCACCAAAACACTATTCCTACATAAATTAAAGTAAAACTGCTTTAAATAGTTTACCCATAATCCTGTCTGCTTTTCCTAGGACAAGAATATTAATCCTCAGTGTAATTTCCTCTCTAAAGGAACCATTCACTCCCTTTTAAATTCTTCCTTCAATTATTTACAACAGGAGAGCTGGGAAGATTCAATTCTAGCCTTGTAATGACTAAGCACCCTTATCAGAGATACCATAGTGCTGCAAATACTTGCCTTTGTAACGTCAGAAGAATCATGGTCAACAAAAGTTAATTTACTAGGAGAAACAGTTATAGATGTCATTAACTTATAAAATGCCTAACTGTTTGTCCAAATAATTAGACATCAGCTACAATTTGGAACCATAACAGATGGATGCTAGAAATTCTTAAAATGAACAGTATGGAAAAAGATCTGTACCAAAATAAAAGTGGGATAAATACCTAAATCATTAGACTATATCAAATATTTTATGGAATATGTTACTACAACAACATTCCTTCCAAGAAGAAACAAGTAGTGATATCTGAGGTTCTTTTCAAGGAATAAGCTTACACTATTGTATTTTCACTTAGATCCTTTAATTCTGCCTTGATAGGAAAAAAAGGATGGTTCTCCAAGCATGGTAATTCCCTAAAACAGTTAGACATGGCTGAAAAATCCTTTCAGGATAGTCTGCCATGTTAGTCAGCCACACTGTAGCACAGTTAGGATTCCTAGTTACAGTTTCTACCCAAAAATATATTTTATTTCATTTGTGTAAGCATTAGTGACTCAACATACAAATTTCAAATATGTAAGAGAACAGGTATATTTTGCCCAGTTGTGTAAAAAGAGCCTTGTGCCACCCAATGCCCATCTACCTACTCTGAAAAAGGACTTTCTGAATAATAAAGTAAAAATCTGGCTCACGACTATGAAAGAGTTTAAATACTTGCTTAATTTAAATAATCTCTGTTATTCTTCCGGTGTCTTACTGCTATTCTATTTCTTCTCTTTTTCCTGTTAGTATTAGTTACTAAATACACTTTTCCTGTTCTTGTTCTAGTTAACTTCACAAGTCCGTTAGGAATAACTAGTGGAAATGCTTCACCTTCTGTCAATAGCAAAGATACTTCAGCTAATGCAAACTCTGTGTATAAGTTTCATGTTTTGTATAAAATCTTGAGTCTGTTGTTGTTGCTAATGGTCAATTCTTCCCAGAAAGCCAGTCTGCATTCCAATGATTGAAGTTAATTTACATGAATGGAAAAATACCTCGATGGTTGTAGGGTCTAAAATTGCAAATCTTTATTTATTAAGGAATCCATTTATCAATTCTGATGAGTTACTTAAAGTGTTAATTAAAGTTTACTAGGTGATGTCCTAGAGTGGAAAAAAGTGGCTTTCCTGGAAAAGTCATCCTGAACAAACAGCTTACTGGTACATTTGTCTGTAGCATATCTAAAATACCAGCACCACATTATGTTGATTATAATAACCATCACGTTAGTTTTGTAACAGAAGACATGCTAGGCCTTCATTTCAGAAATTCTTGAAATTTATGTACTGTGTCTCATCACAGTTTCTCCCAACATGCGGAATTTTCATGATTACAAATAATTTTGATTTTTTTTTTTTTGCTTAAATGTGAATTGCTGTTCTTACGTCTAAATTTCAGTGTTCTGCA